GTGCCCCCATCTCCGGTGTGTATCTAGCCTACTTCTTTTTTTTCCATATTTTTCTCACTCATAATTGCCTAGCCGTAATCGGGCGCAATCAGCTTCCAGCTCGTACCCACGGGATTCATACTCAGGCTGTTTAAGTCAAGGTAGGTTTTCATTCCTTTCCGGCTTGCCTCGCACCTTTACCCTTTGGTCTGTGTCTGAAATGACTTCTCCTTACTATTTCTTATCTCAATTTTCCCTCTGCTCCATGTCTAATCTGCACCCACCCAGGAATCCCCCCACTACTTGGCCTCGCGCGCAGTCGCTCTGCAGCGCCTGCCCCCAACTGACATTGTGTGATTAACGAGCTTGCCGAGGAGCGCAATTTTGTGTGGGGAGTGTGCTCTCTGTCGTTGTTTGTGGGGAGGCCCGTGGTTTTATGGGCGAGAAGCCTCCCAAATCCACCTCAATGCCATATATCCACTCGCGAGCAGAGAGTTCTTTGTGCCCGCGTATCCGACGTTGGCAAAGACCTGCGGTGCATAGTACCCGACGGAGTTTTATCCCCTTCACCCCATTCCCGTTCTTCTTTCCATCGGTGGCCGGCCGCTGAGCGTGGGGGGAGCACTGCCCATTTCATTTTGACTTTTCTTTCTGTTTTTTTTTGTGTAGGTCAGGCAAGCCCAAGTCCCGATCTTGAACGTGCCCTGATCATGTAATTTTCACGCCAGCGAACCCGGAGCGCAGCATTTCGACGTCTGCGCAATGTGCACGCGATCAAGAGGCCCGGGTGCGCACGGGTGGTTTCTCGCCGCTGTTGCGTGGGAGGAACATGCACGGCCGCGCACTTCTGCCGGCGTCAAATTCCTGTAGCGTTTGCATGTACTATTTGAATACAATTTGGAACTTAATCCTCAGCGCATTGAGTAACGTTGAGGGATTTAGAGTGTGAGCATGCTTAGACGGGAGAATTGGATTTGATTGAGAGCCCCCGGGTCTGTGCGTGACTTCTGCAGGAAGCAAGCCAAGTGCCGGAAGTACCTCCGGCAGGCCTTGGGGGTGATAGCTTTGCGTTTGAATTGTAGTTCTAAACAGAGGGATTGACTGGTTAGCGAAATGAATAGAATTGGTCAAAGACAAGATAGCCAATCCAGTATCAAGACGAAATGAATCCCGGAATCAATGCATCGGGTTTGAATCTCCAATCCGTCAGTACGGACATTGACTAAACTCGACAACGAGGATTCGACTGAAATGAAAGTCATTATAACGGAATGGGAAAGAAAGAGACTGAGCATAAGTCAACTGTCAACTTTCGTTCAAGTCCAGGTTGAACTTTGTATTGAGCGGATGTTGTACACACAATGACACGTCGGACGCGCTCGTGGGCACGCGTGTACCCGCGCCTCACGCGCCGCGTGTGCGGATAGTGGGCGCTCAGTGGGCGCTTCGCGGCCCACGCGCGGTGGCATGCCGGAGCGCGTGCCCGCTCAAAATAACCTGAGGTAAAATTTAAAGTAAAAGTCCGGCTATCTCCCGGCAATCTCCTGCAGTAAAAGTCCACTTTTACGAAAGGAAATGTTGGGGTAACAGCCAGCCTTCTGCCGTGAGAATTACGGAGACAAAGAGGCGGGCTATTTCCGGTAGAAATTCTCATGGAAAAAACGTGGCTGTTACCTAATTTTATCTTACGGCAAAATCGGGCCTGTTACCGGAAGAGATTGGACAGATAAAAGTTGGGCTATCACTCATATTTTATCTGAAGTTATATTTGGCCTGTAAATTGTACACAATAGTTCTAGGGCGATTTTGTGCGGCTAATATTTTTTGATCGCCGCCGTGCTGTTAGAGAGAACGGTTGTGCGCCGTGCACTGCGGGACTTGGTAGCTGGTGTTTGAAAGGTTGTTTAGATGGCAATCATCTGGAGCCTACTCAGGGGAGAGAAAAATGCTTCAATGCCCTTCTCATGTCCCGCCCCTGAATCGAACAGGGTTCTTCCGCACTATGTTCAAGCCCTTTTAGGGAGAGCAGATATGCACCGTGCACCGCGGGACTTTGTATTCTAGTTTCTAAGGCTGGTGAGATGGCTGTCCGGGCCTCACCCAGGCGAAGGCAGAAGAAGATAAAAAAAGACATTTGGACACGACTTATGTCCCGCCCCCGAGTCGAACGGGGATGTTCCGCATTGCAACTTCTTCGGGCTATGAGGTGGAGTGGATGTGCACCATGCACTGCGGGACTTGGTAGTGTTATTTTCTGAGGTTGGTTGGATGGCAATCGTCTGGAATCTGCCCGGCCAAAGCCAAAAGAGAAAAAGAAAGTCTTCGACGGAATTATGTCCCGCCCCCGAGTCGAACGGGGATCTTCCGCATTATCATATCAGGCCGCTATTCAAGCGAGAGCGGATGTGCACCGTGCACTACGGGACTTGGTATTTTTATATCTGAAGGTGGTGAGATGGCAATCGTCTGGAGCCTCAACTAGGCAAAGTCAAAAGAGAAAAAGAAGACACTGGATCAATCAATATTCATGTCCCGCCCCCAAGTCGAACGGGGTTATTCCGCATTATCTTGGAATGGTCCTCCTCAGCGAGAACGGATGTGCACCATGCACCGCGGGACTTGTTTATTTTGATTTCTGAGGGTGGTGAGATGACAAACATCTGGAGCCTCACCCAGGCAAAGGCAGAAGAAGACAAAAAAAAAAAAATTCGTCCACATTCGACCCACTATATGTCCCGCCCCCGAGTCGAACGGCGTCCTTCCGCATTCTAACGGCTCAGCGACTTAGCGAGAACGGATGTGCACCGTGCACCGCGGGACTTTATCTCTCTACTTGCAAGGTTGGTTGGATGGCAATCATCATGAGTTGAACCCAAATTAGATGGGAGATGCCAAAAAAACCACTCAAGAAAATATTGCTATGTCCCCAAGTCGAACGGGGTTATTCCGCATTCCCAATTGGACAATGACTGAACCATAGCGGATGTGCACCGTGCACCGCGGGACTTTATGTCTCTACTTGCATGGTTGGCGAGATGGCAATCGTTTGGGGGCCTACTCAAGCAAATGCAGAAGAGAAAAAAAACCACTTCTGACAGAACATGTCCCGCCCCCGAGTCGAACGGGGTTATTCCGCATTGCAGCAACTTTTTTTGATATTGAACGAAAGCGGATGTGCACCCTGCACCGCGGGACTTGCTTTACTCTACTTGCAAAAGGTGGTTATAGGCGTATCACCTGCCCAAGCCAACGCTCCACCAAACAGCGAAAAAGATCCGAGAACGCAAGTCTATGTCCCGCCCCCGAGTCGAACGGGGTTCTTCCGCATTCGAACGGCTCGACAATTTAGCGAGAGCGGATGTGCACCCTGCACAGCAGGACTTGATTTACTCTTCTTGCAAGTCAGTGAAGTAGTAGTCTCTTATAAACAGACGCTACAACAAAAAAGTGCTCGTACCTGTGCTTTGTTGTAGTGAAGTAGATAGGACCATCTGGAGGTTACCTAAAAGGCAAAAGAATGGCTTCAACAGCCCATGTCCCGCCCCCGAGTCGAACGTGGGTCTTCCGCATTGAAACAAGATTCTTTGTGATCTAATGCGATCGGATGTGCATCCTGCACCGCGGGACTTCGTAGTGTTGTCTTTGTGAGGTTGGCGATATGGCAAATGTTTAAACGTCCTGGGCCTAGCGAGCCAAACCCAGAAGAAGACCAAAAAGGCATTCGATGGCAATGAATGTCCCGCCCCCGAGTCGAACAGGGTCTTCCGTATTACAACACCTCGGAGACAGTAGGTGCAGTGGATGCCTGTACCACGGGACTTGGTAGTTGGGTCTTTGCAAGGCTGGTTAGATAACAATCAAAATTTAGATGGCATGGAACAAAAAAAACCATGTTGACGCATCATATATTTCCCGCCCCCGAGTCGAACGGGGCTCTTCCGCATTGCAACGCCTTCGAGCTATAAGGTGGAGCGGATGTGTACCCTGTACCGCGGGACTTGATTTGGGGTGTTTTTCAGGTGGCTAGATGGTAATCGTCTGGACTCCAGAACCTAACCCAAAAGACAAAAAGAGGTTGACGGAGTGATGTCCCGCCCCCGAATCGAACGAGGTTATTCCGCATTTAATTTTGCTACGAAATTCCTGAAGCGAGAGCGGATGTGCACCCCGCACCGCGGGACTTTATATATTGATTTCTGAGGTTGGTTAGATGGCAATCATTCGGAACCTATCCAGGCAATGGCAAAGCAGATTTAAAAAAACCCTTCCACCGAACTTATGTCCCGCCCCCGAGTCGAACAAGGATCTTCCGCATTGCAATGCCTTGGAGATTTTAGGTGGAGCGGATGTGCACCATGCACTGCGGGACTTGCTACTATTTTGACTTCTGAGGGTGATGAGATGACAATCGTTGAGTTTAACCCGGCGCAAACCCAAAAGACAAAAAGCGGTTGACGGAGTGATGTCCCGCTCCCGAGTCGAACGGTGTTCTTCCGCAAGCCAAAGACCTGACGATGCAGTGAGAGCGGATGTGCATCGTGCACCGCGGGACCTGGTAGTGTTGTTTTCTGAGGGTGGTGAGATGGCAATCGAACTGAATACCATGAAAACAACAGCCAAGAAGCACAAAAATAACCAGGTGAATGAAGCTTATGACTCGGGCCTGATTCGAACCAGGCGCCTTTCACGGCCAACAATGGACTCAGCAAACGAGTTGTGGACGCGGACCATCCGCTGCCGAGTCGGTGCTCAGCTTTAACGTGGGTTGAATAAATGTGTTAGGTCCAATTTATCGCTTTGTGGGACATGCTCGAGCGCTCAGGGTTCCCGGGTTGAGTTGTAAATCGCCTCGGTCAGGAAATGTTTCATGAATTGTAAGACTGTGGCCGCCGTGCATCCAGAAAGAAAAATCCCCACTAGCCATGAAAAAAATAACAAAAATAAAGATGACATATCCAAACAGTGACTCGGGCCTGGATCGAACAGGCGACTTCCACAGTCGATGCGCAATCAGTATTCAAATTGATATGATGTGGACGCGCACCATCCGCCACCGAGTCGGTACCCTACTTGAATGTGAGTTGAATAAACGAGCATGAATTCACGGGGACGGGATGTGTACTGTAGTTGGGAAAATTAGAAGTCGGGAACGCTTGCCAGCTGATCGAGTACTAGTCTGACTGCTACTTGCACTCTACCACCCGTTAAAAAGTCTGATTCTGCTCTCAGGTGAGGTCAAACTGAACATCAGGAAAACAACACCAGCCAAGAGGCACAAAAAAAAGTAGCTGCGTATGAGATTATGACTCGGGCCTGGATCGAACAGGCACCTTCCACAGCCAACTTTGTTCATTACTTCCTGGGTTAGAGTTGTGCGGGCGGACCATCCGCCACCGAGTCGGTTCTTGGCTTCAATCTGGGTTGAATAAATGAGCATGAATTTGCGGACCGCAAAGGGGTTGGTTGAATATGTCTTCAAGTTGGTCTCCAAAACACATTCAGAGAAAATGCAAACATCACATCGGATAAATCCAAGAGGATACGGTAACTGAAATTTGCGGGCACAAGATGAAGCGGATGAGTCGGAACAGCAGGAAAAAAAAACAGCTACGAGAGATCATGACTCGGGCCTGAATCGAACAGATGACTTCCACAGGAGGAGGATTCTGAATTGAATGATGTGGACGTGGACCATCCGCCACCGAGTCGGTACCCTGCCTCAATCTGGGTTGGATAAATGGGCATGAATTTTTGTGCCGCATCAGTTCATGGGTTGAACATGTCTTCAAGTTGGTCTCTGAATAAAATGCAAACACCACATCGCGTGAATCTAAGAAAATAGACAAACAGTTTCAATTGAAATTGGCAGGGATAAAATCAAGCGGTTCAATCTCTTGAGTCGGAACAGAAGGAACAGCGGGAAAAAAGTGAACTGCGGCGACAGATCATGACTCAGGTCTGATTCGAACCGGCAACTTCCACAGTTGTTATTCCTCCATAAGTTGTGGACGCCGACCATCCGCCACCGAGTCGGTATTGAGCTTCGATGTGAGTCGAACAAACGAGACTGAATTTACGGCCCGCACAGGTTGGTAAGTTGAACACATCCTATGGTCTCCGAATTATATTCAGAGCAAAGGCAAGAGACTCAGACGTCGAGTATTGAATTGATTTCGCATGAATAAAATGAACCAGAGGAATCTCAAGGAGTAGGAACAGGAGGGGGGAAAAGTGGAAACCATCTGCAATACCTATGACTCGGGCCTGATTCCAACAGACGACTTCCACAGTCAATAGTCTTCTCCTCCCTTTATGAGTTGTGGACGCGGACCCTCCGCCACCGAGTCGGTATTTGACTTGGTTCTGGGCTGAATAAATGGAAAGAATTTATGCGCTGGAGGGCCGATGGTTGAACGTACCACATCGTGGAAGGTAGGTGTGACATGACAGCGCCTCGGAAATTCACTCGACCAGGAAGGTTTCATGAAATGTAAGACTGTGGCCACCGTGCATTCCGAAAGGAAAATCCAAACTAGCTGTCAAAAAAAAAAAAAAAAAAGGCAACGTGGTAAATAAACAGTGTGACTCGAACAGGCGCCTTCCACAGTAGACGAAATAAAAAAATGGGTTCGAAGCCGGCGCACCTCCCCCTCCCCCTCACCCTCCCGTCGCCGTTCACCACCGCGCCTGTGCCCGTGTCCGTGTCGCGCTCGCCCACCTCCTCCATCTCCATGTCTCCCACCTCCCCCAGGATGGTACGGCGCGCGAATTGGGAGCCCGTCCATGCGCATGCGTATGCGCCGGTTATGTCGCGTACGCATGCGGGTGCATCAGCGCCGGGATACCCGTCCCCGCACGCGCACGCACACGCGCAGTACTCGGTGGCCCGGGAGCCGCAATACGCGTATACGTATGACTCGGCGCACACGCGTGGGTCCGGGTGGGATGCGTATGGTAACGGGGGGCGCGGCGCGCCTGGGCATGGGATTGGAGTGGGGGTGGGGTACGCGGGGGCGTATAGCGAGAGCGATGTGCGGAGTGAGCGATAGGAGGTTATTCTTGTTCTTGTCTTGTTCTTCCTCCTCGCACGCATCTTGCCATTATTACCATTACTCTAGATCTTGACTCCCTCTTGCCTCCTGCCTCCGACTCCGACATACGCACGCACGCACTTGTATCGACCACCACTCGCACTTCGTCTCGCACTCGCACAGTTCCTCTCGCATATATATACTGTACATCGTCCTAACTAATATACATCTTGTATTTTGTGTCCAGATTTTGAAATTTATATTCGAGTTAATTTAAACGTTGAGGCTGAGCGAGGCGGGGAGAGAAAGAATAAAAGAGAAAAAGACAGAAAAGGATAAGACAGAGAAAAAGATTTTTAAGAACGGCGTTTGATCTCCAACATGTCCCGCCCCCGAGTCGAACGGGGGTCTTCCGCATTGAACCTACTCAGCAACTTTTTAGGTAGAGTGGATGTGCACCATGCACTGCGGGACTTGGTAGTGTTGTTTTCTGAGGTTGGTGAGATGGCAATTGTTTGGGGCCTATGTAGGCAAAGGCAGAAGAAGACAAAAAAAGGACTTTCGTCCACATTCGATCTATTGTATGTCCCGCCCCCGAGTCGAACAGGGTTTTTCCGCATTATAATCCAAAGCAGCTATTCAAGCGAGTGCGGATGTGCAGCCTGTACCGCGGGACTTGAGTTGGGGTGTTTTTCAGGTGGCTAGATGGTAATCGTCTGGACTCCAGAGCCTAACCCAAAGACAAAAAGAGGTTGACGGAGTGATGTCCCGCCCCCGAATCGAACGAGGTTATTCCGCATTTAATTTTGCTATGAAATCCCTCAAGCGAGAGCGGATGTGCACCCCGCACCGCGGGACTTTATATATTGATTTCTGAGGTTGGTTAGGTGGTAATCATTCCGAACCTACTCAAGCAAATGCAGATGCCAAAAAAGTCGTTTGAAGAGATCGCATGTCCCACCCCCGAATCGAACGGGGCTCTTCCGCATTATAATATCGAGCTAAGTACTATTCAAGCGAGAGCGGATATGCACCGTGCACCGCGGGACTTTATATGGGTTCTGAGGTTGGTTAAGCAGACCTACTGTGCAGCCAACGCTCCACCAAACAGCGAAAAAGATTTGACCACACGAGTCCGTGTCCCGCCCCCGAGTTGAACGGGGTTCTTCCGCTCTAACGCCTTCGAGCTATAGAGTGGAGTGGACGTGCACCGTGCACTTCAGGACTGACTTTATAAGTTGATTTCTGAGGCTGGTTAGATGGCAATCATCTGGAGCCTACTCAGGAGAGAGAAAAATACTTCAATGCCCTTCTCATGTCCCGCCCCTGAATCGAACAGGGTTCTTCCGCACTATTTCCAAGCTTTTTTAGTGAGAGCGGATGTGCACCGTGCAATGTGGGACTTGATGTCTTGGCTACTCTCAGGTTGGTGAGATGGGAACTGTCTCGAGCCTACCCACCATACCCAAAAGACAAAAGAAATTGAAACCCTACTCCATGTCCCGCCCCCGAGTCGAACGGGGTCCCCCCGCATTCCAAACAGTGGAACGAATAACGAGAACGGATGTGCAACATCCATTACGGGACTTTATTTACTCTACTTGCAAGGTCAATTGGATGGCAATCAATTCGAGTCTACTCAAGCAAATGCAGATGCCAAAAAAAGGTCCCACCACGATAGTACATGTCCCGCCCCCGAGTCGAACGGGGTTGTTCCGCATTATGTTTAACCTTTCCCTTTTACAGGAGATCCTGAAAATAATGGCAATCACGGGGTTTTTTTTTGCCGGTTCCCAAAAAGGAAACTGACTCACTTCGTCTCCGCACGCCATGGGCAACCATCGTATCAGCTCTGACCTCAAAGAACGCGCTCTCATACTCTGGGAATCTGGATGGGAGATCAAAGACATATGCTACGCATTCCATGTCTCACCCCGGAGCCTCTATCAGATCTTTGATGAGTTCGGCAAAGTCACAAAACCGCCGTCTCCGCTCCGTGGCTGTGAACGAATTATCAGTTTAGCCGCTCTCAACGCCACTAAGGAGATCTTCTTCCACGATCCGTCTGTGATGCTGGATGAACTGATGTGGTATTTGGCCATCCACCACGACATTGCGATCTCGAAATCGGCATTACAAGCGACTTTGGTCCGGGCCGGTCTCACGCACAAGATGCTTCAGAAAATTGCGGTTGAGCGTGATGAGGTGGGAAGGCAGGACTATCGGGACTGCATTCGTGACCCACAGAACTTTTCGGGGACAGGAATGGAGTTTGTGACTGTCGATGAGTCGAGCAAAGACACACGCGACCTCACACGTCATTACGGCCGCTCGCCAATCGGAATGCCGGCCCAGTACATCCACCAGTTCATTCGCGATGAGTGTTACACACTCACGGCAGCCATGAGTACACAAGGATACATCGCGACACGCATCGTCGAGGGATCTATGGATGCGTACGACTTTTTTGATTTTATTATTGAGGATGTGGTAAACTGGTAAAATCTCGGCTCAATCACACAGAAACCATGCTGATTTATCGCAGTTGCCACAGATGAAGCCATACCCCGACACGCAGAGTGTGCTGGTCCTGGATAACTGCCGAATCCATCATACAGACCTGCTGCAGGAGGTGGTGAACAAGCATGGTACAACGGCAAAAGCCTGATTCCACCACTTCTGACATGTTTGCAGGTGTCACGATTCTTTATCTCCCTCCGTACTCGCCCGACCTGAACCCCATTGAGGAGTCCTTTTCGGGTAGTAGTCACCCTTGTCACTTCGTTACTTCGCTTAAACTCGCGAAAGTTCGTCACTTTGATGGCAACCTCGGAAACTTCGTCAGTTTGGTGAATTCCCAGGAAAGTTCGTGAGGTGAACAAACCACACAAATCAGACGCATCAATCTGGCCATCATTTCCTTCTCCCCTGTTTTTTTATATCGATACCCTGGCCTAACACTAACCTCTAACCCTAACCGCTAACCTCTAACCTCTAACGACTAACGACTAACCTCTAACCGTAACCCCCTAACCCAAACCTCTAACCTCCAACCCCTAACCAGCTAACCGGAACCTAACCTGATGTGCATCAACAGCTTGCCGAGGTTGGAATACCAACTCACGAACTTTCACAGAAAGCCATCAAACTCACGAACTTTCACGAATTCCCATCAAAGTTACGAACTTTCGCAGCGCTAAGCGAAGTAACGAAGTGACGAGAATGGCGCGGACTCGTCCTTTTCCACATGTTTGTGGTCTTTCTCAATGCTGTTTTGTCGCTGAAAACCGTCTTAGGGAAAGCATATCTTCGCCGTCACGGTGACGAGATCCAAGCAGCTGAAGATCCTTATCTAGCCCTGCTTGAATCGACGTCGTGTATCACAGCTGAGATGGCGGTAGGGTGGTTCCGGCATGCAGGTTATATCTGGTAAAAAGTGCTTTGTAAAATAGCGATACAGCGACAGGGGATGCGAGGGTCCAAAATACAGTATGATAACTCGATGTAGTGCACAATTATGGAACGAGAAAACAGTTGCGAGAAAACGGTTACTAGTCGAAGTGTCCTGCGGCAAGATCCACCTTGAAACGAACATTAGCGTTATGAATTCTCTTCCAGCCAAAAAGTGTAAATCCCACGGCTCGCAAATCGTCGCTCAGAGTGCTGTCTGTCTGATCTCCAGGTAAAAATCCTACATCCCTCAAGAGTGTATGCTGTGTCTCATCGATGCCAAAGTCGGTGCAGAACTTGTCGAGTGTTACGGAATGCTGTTTGATGGGGGAGGGCGGTGCCGTGCACGACAGAGGAATCAATGGTGGGGGTGCTGCGGGAGCCGGGGGATTGAGGTGCGGAAACAGAGTACCGAGGACGCCTCTGCCTCCATTTTGCGTGAGAAGGGTTGCAAGCAGCACGTCGGTCAACGAAGCCGACGGTTGTGGGGGTGCGACGGCAGGGACTGGTGGGGGAGCAGGAGCGAGAGCCGGAGATGGTGCAGGTGTAGCAGGGGTAGCTGGAATAATCTTGATACGCTGTGTTGCATGGAAAAAACGCGAATCGAGCGGCGTGGTCACATTGGCAGTGCCTGCGCCCTGCAAAACTCACCTCAGTATACACAAAGTACATAAAAAGACTGTGGTACGTACCATTCCTGCCGACCACACACCCATACGCGAGTTGTTTAGGTCGAACAAAAACCCTGTCCTCGGCTGCATGAAACCCGAAGCTACGGAAAGCTCATATGATTTCCAATGGGATACTTCTCTTGCAGGTCTGCACGATGATCTTTAGTCGCTTTGTTGAACGCAATCTAGCCAGGA